AACCCCAAAACCCCAAAACCCCAAAACCCCAAAACCCCAAAACCCCATATTAATTTTATAAAATTGAAATTACTTAATGGAATGTTTGTATTTAGTCTATTTCTCCATCCTCTAATTCTTCAACAATTTCACCATTGTTGCAGATAGCAGCTGATTTTGATCCGTCTGGTTTCTCAAAGATACCTTCACCGTGGAATTTTCCTTTAGAGAACTTTCCTGTGTATATAAGTCCATTGGAGAAATTTATCCTGCCATTGCCATCGTATAAGTCATGCTTGAAGTCACCTACAAGCGCATTAAGACACATAATTAAAGTCAGACTAAAGTCTGCTCAAAACTTACCTTCGTATACCTCCTTTTCTGGGACAGTTTGTGTACCATAGCCATGCTTTTTACCTCTGACCCATTTGCCTTCATAAACAGTGCCTTCTTTGCTAGTTAAAGTTCCTATAGCTTAAGGGAGTGGACTACCTTTGCCATGATATTTTCCTTCCTCAAACCCTCCTTCGTATTTAGCACCGTTCGATAGATAGAGAGATCCCTTTCCGTGGTATTCTCCTTGCTTCAGTTGGCCCTTATAAAAAGTGCCATCAGGGTAAGAGATCTCCCCAATCCCATCCATTTTGTTTGTTTGGTCATGCATTTCTCCTTTATATTCAGCACCAGTTTCTACAAAGGTCAAGTTCACGCTTGAGCGCCTGTGTTGTTCAGCTATAAATTTGAGTAAATTTTAAAACATTTTGTAAATATTTCGCACAAAAAATTCCAGAAATTAAAGCAAGTTCTAATTTGTTTACTCCCTTTCTTTTTCACTGGACTAAAGCATCCAATTTCTTCATCAGAATCACTACTGGAGCTATCTGAGTTCTGGCTGTTTTGGGAATCCTTATGATCCTCGGAAGAATGTACAGAAGCATCATTTGAATCACTATCTCTTTGAAGCTTAATCTTATTACTACCAGGATTACCGCCTGTATTAGCCTTGACTAACTTAGTAGAAGCTGTAGTTAATTCAATAGTGTTCTTATTTATCCAAGGCTTGCCTATTAGGTCTCTCAGATATCCCTCTATTTAAGTTAGCTCTTCTAGAAGGCGTTGCATTTTCCAGATTTGAACCTTTCTTTGAATTCACATTTGGCTTCTTGATAGTTTTATCTTTGCTATTTTGTGCGCTTCCAGAGCAACCCATTGGTCTAAAGTAAGCATGAGACTGTCAGGAACCAAATAGTTTGAACTCTTTAAGCTGGGCTAGAATTAATGTATGCTAATTGGTCTTTAAACAAAATTCTGCAATATTTAGCTTACCTTTGTCTATAAAAATTATGTAGTATTTCAATCTTATATACTTTAAATGGGGTTTTGGGGTTTTGGGGTTTTGGGGTTTTGGGGTTTTGGGGTTTTGGGGTTTTGG